CCAGCACAGCAGCCAAAGAGTGAACAGCCAGAGAATTCCAGTTCCGGGATTAGCGCCTGGCCACAAAGATGCTGGGAAAAGTGGGACAACACAGGGCTCTCGGTGGGAGCTGCATTCCAGACTGCACTGGTGAGGCGGAGGGTGGAAGAATGGGTAGGGGTTTGGGCAGGGTATTCTGATGAGCACATCCGACAGAAGGGAGCAAATGGAAAAGGGAAAAGGTGACATTTCTTGGAGGTAACACAGTTCTGCCCAGTGGTGTTGCTGAGCCATTTAATAACCAAAGTGGCAGGAAGGTACATTTCATTGAGTTAGAAGAGATGACAGAATCGCAAAGAGTAGTAGAAGATGGGGAACTGAGTTTTTGAAGGGCTTGTGCATTCACAGCGGGGAGCAAAATAGAAAGACCAAGCCTGTGCCAAAGACAAGCTGGACTGTTAGAGTTGAAGAAGAGTAAGAGGTGAGCTTAGCCACTGCTTGGGGAGGATCTGCTGCTCACCCAGCCTGGTGGCCTCCTGGGCGAATTCTTCAGAACACTGGGGCGGGCTCCGGCCCAGCAGGCAGAGCTGAACCTTGACGGTGAACTTGCTTTCACTATCCTCTCAACATATGGTGAGAAATGTAACTAAGCAAATGGACTGAGTACTTGTCTCTGCTCAGCCTGTCATCTTCCTGGAGGTTATTGATATGACTGCAACATTGGTAGTATAACCAGAAGTTGCTTGGTGGGCACACTCGTGATGTGATGGGTTCCTTGGGTGATCTTGGTAGCTAATGTCACCTGCTCCAATGGTCTGATAGGTGTCTCCATTTAAATTTAAGGAGTCTCTTTTCATGGGCCAGTTTCAGTGTACTCACTTTACACAGTGCCTGAGAGAGATGCCCACTTTTTTCTCCTGGAATCACCAATCACAATTGCCACGTGCGCCATCTTTTTCTCCTGCTAGCCCATTTCTTCTGAAAGAATGTACACTGATTTTGATGACCTAGGTATCCATTTTCTGACTCGTGATTTAGTCCTGCCTTCTCCAGTTACATCCAAGTTACCTTGATTGGATTTCGGCTCTCCTGAGGCAGTGGCCTCAGGGTTGATCTTAGACAAGTCACTTTAGATTCTCTAAATTGCTTTTAAAGAGCAAGCTTATCTTTAAGGTGAAGGTTATAGTAGATCTTGTCCCATAAGAAAGAAGTAGGTTTCTCATAGTTAAAGAGATACTGTAATGATAGAATGACTCTAAAAGTATGGCCTCTTGACCTAGCACAGTGCTAAATGATTTATAAGGATTTTTCTTTTTTATCCTCTCATGAGTATGTTATCCCCACTTACAGATGAGGGAGCTGAGGCATGCCGAAGTTGAATATCTTTTCCAGGCCCCTACTGTTAATAGCAAAGCTAGATTGAGGTTCATTTGATAATTCCAGAGCCAGTGCTTTCAACTCTGTATTTGATATTGTTCCCAGGAGAAAGTCAGTCAGTGTAGCAGAAATAGAATATAGGACTGCTTGGATGAATGATGATGATGAATATAATTTCAGCTCCTACTTCATTCCAGGTACTGTACATAAGTTTTTATGAATTGTTGCATTCCTATAACATAGGTATCAGTTTTAAATTTTTGTATATGAGGTGATTAAGGTTGAAGAGATCAAGTAGCTTTTAGGCAGGTAACTGGATTCTCTGAGTCCAAAACCTAAGCTCAAAAGCATTGATGGGTGGGAGTTTGTGGTACCTCTGGAGAGTGACAGGTTGCCCGGTATAGCTCAGGCCTACAATGCACAGCGAAGTGAAAGAGTTGAGGGGGGTCAGGAACATTAAAGGGGTGAATATTTTTAAAGGATGTTAAGTCCTTAAGTATACGATGGAAGATTGGAAACTTAGCAGGGTAGAAAACAATACTCTTGAGTGGGGGCAAAAGAGAATAAAAAGAAATTGCTGCTTTCTCATAGACTAAAGGCATGTGATGAAGGAAAAAGTATGGCGGAGATAAAAGAATCCTAAAATTATTTAGAGGAGAACAACAGATCATTCATAGATTTTTCTTTCCAGATCGGTGGCTTAGATGGCATAATTGTTCTCAGATGTGACAGTAGCTTCAATCTGTAAGACTTAAGAAAAAAACAAGTTAGTGTTTTAATTTTAAAGCCTTGAGAGGTGCTCTATTATATCTGCAGTGTATTTATAAATGTGGTGGCGCTAGTGGCGATGGGTAGAGTTTTGGTGGCGAGGGATTATTCTCATTTTGAACTTTCCGGTGGGTGTCTGCCTGGCAACAACAAAGCCAGGAGTGGTCTCTGTTCATTTGGCTTTCATTCAGAAACTATTTTCCATCACAATAAATCACTAGTTTCTTTAGCCTCAGGTCCCTGGTGATCAAAGTATTCAGTTACAGTACCTGATAAAATCATGACTATCCTAGTAGTCACCTTATGTACATCCTCTCCTCTTCAACAGTGAGCCTTTAAAAAAACTGGGATTCATTGGCAAAAGAGAGTCTTTATTCCTTAGTGTATAGATGGGTACGTTTGAACAATGGCAAAAAGCAGTAGACTCGGAGCCTAAAAGAAAAACAGTGTCCTCTTCCTTTCCTTCCTGTTCTTTTTGCCTATTTTTAGTACCATTTCAAGTACAGTTAATATGTCTCTTGGGAGTGAAAGCTACATTTGATTAAGCCAATCATATGGAGAATGGCTGGGGTAAGTTTTAGGAGTGCTGGAGAAGTTTTGATATAGTCAGGCTTTCCCCAAGTCGTTTTATGGTCCAGCCTACAGAATCATAGACTTTATATTTGCAAAGACTTAGAAGTAATCTGGGCTTAATGTCCCACGGCATGGAAAATGTTTTCTTCGCCGTCTTTCCCAGACAGTTCAAGCTTCTACTTGAGCTCTTTTAACCAGTTCACTGACCTGGAAGTGCTAACACACCAGGAGGACAGGGGCTGTGTGACACTGCCCCTCAGTTGGCCTTGCTTTGTTACAGAGTAGCTCTAATTATTGGGAAGTGCCACTTCTTGCCATTTCTTCAAGCCTTGGAATAAAAAATATCCCAACTCAAATCCCATTTCTGCCACTACCTGTGTGACTTTGGGCAGATCCCTAACCCCTCTGGATTCAGTGTTTTGCATGGGAAACAAGAAAACAGTGTCTAGGGAGTGCGTGAGTTGTGTTCTGAGACCTACTACATGTAGAATAGTGTAAAAGGATGAATTGTAACATCTGTGAAGAACCTGACACACAGTAGGCGCTTTACATGACCTGCACCCTGTGGGCCTCATTCTGTTCTTCTGTTAGGCAAGCGCTATGTGATTCTGTGTTCAGAATCCCAGTGGTCATCTGTCCAGCACAGGGTGAAACAGAGCTGTTGCTTTATACATACAGGGCATTGTGTGAGTTCTTTTTCAGGACGGTGAGATGTGGAAAATGGGAGTGGGGAAACTCAGGAATGTGCAATTCCAGTGGCATACCTGCTTCCCTAACTCTGTGGCGGTGTACTGGTTTATAAAGAGTAAGATGATTAGGTTGCCTGGAGGCGTGAAGAGAGGAGGGAAATACAGGCTTATGTCAGAATTTATTAGCATGAACTCAGTCTTCTAACCCAGAACAAGTGGTGGGAAAGGGAAAGCTTCAGTTACGCTATTGTTTGGTCTACATTAAAGCAAGCAGTTTGAGTGATTCCCATTAGTTTCGCTGGTTTTATTTTTCAGCTTTGTTACAAACCGTCTAAATAATTAATTTTTTCGAAAGGGACTATCTGCTGCAACTATGTATAATGCCTATTTTAAAGCCAGTCATGATGCGTCAGTAAAAGTTTTGAAGGCCCTGGAGGGTGAGTTAGTCCTTTGCCTGGTGTTTCTAAGAGAGTGGCCATGTTGAGAGAAGAGAAAGCTGCGTTTTTCTCCATCTCCCTTTCCCATTTCAGACTGTATTTGTGACAGAAGCCTCCCCAAATATTCTCTTGTCAGGGCTTTGATTTTGGAAAGCACGTTGTTGATTTTGGGGTAGCCTCTACAGTATTTTTGTATTCTTTCTGAAAACCTGTAATGGGGATGTGGAACTTCCACAAAGTAGGTTAGGCAAATTCTGATGATAGCACTTTACTGGTAGTTTCTAGAGGAGATAGTACTGCTAGCTCTTCATTTAAAGATAACCTAAAACTGGGGGAAATGACACATGTTCTGAGGTGGTCTGGCTTATCTGTTTGATAGGGGTACAATAACAACCATCACTACATCAATCGAGTGAGTTGCTTTGGAGAGCCTATAGCATAAATCTAAATGCTTTTATTTTACAGCCCCAAGGAACTTTATCAAAGGTCAAATGTGTTCCCCACAAACTGACTGCTATCACTATTATTTTGAAATGGACACATTTCTGCTTCATTTACATTTAGTGTGTGTTGGGTACTAAGTGTGCCTTGGATACTGACGAATTGGCAGACAGACATGGCTCGGTGGTAATAATAATGAATCAAATGGAGTACTGTGCGTTTTAGCCATGCTGGATCACCGAGAAAGTGTGTGCGTGCATGTGTGCACACACGTGCACGCATACACCTGAGCTTGAGCATCATGAAAACCTGCTGGCATTATTTGCCACTCCTTCAAATCTTTTTATTCTATCATTTTCACTCTGGCCAAATGGCTACAACCCAAGGGAAAAATCCTCCCATCCACGTTATGCAAATTTTGATATGCTATTGATTAATCAGCAGTTCAGTAAATGTGTAAGGTAACAATGAATTTAACTACTTTTAGTTTTAAAGCATTTCTTTTAAAGGGTAACTTGTCACAATAGATTGTTTCCTTAGGGAGAAAATACTTAACCATGTGAATGTTTTTTAAAAAGATTCGATTAGGAATATTAATTTGAGTTATATTCAAATACAAAATGACTGATTTTGGAAATGATTTTCTATGTAACTAACTTGAATGTTGTATCATCTCTGCCTTGCCTTTTGAATAACTAGTAATTAGGTATATGATACATGTTGTTTATTTTTATAGTTAAAACAGAGCCGATGAGCAGCAGTGAAATAGTTTCAACAACAGCAGACGGGTCTTTAGACAATTTCTCAGGTTCAGGTAAGGAAGAAATATTTGATTTTTACATTAATACAAACCATTTTTCCTAGTTTATTTATCTATACAAATATGTATATGTATGTGTGTATATGCACATGTATAGGGTATATGTGTGAAATGTAAAACGCAGCTTGTCTCAGAGTCACATTCTGATGTTTTTATTTAGTATGAAAAAGTGCTGAAAACGTTGGAATCCTATAGAGGAGATAAAATCAAAAGGGGTGTTGTTCTTTTTCTTTCTTCCACTAAGTTATCTTTATTCTATTAATGACTCCTTCCCTTTTTCTCTCGTCTGTATGATTTTTCCAATCATCCAAATTTAGGTAGCCAAAATTTAGCTTTTGATACCCACTACACAGACCTACCACGCCATCCTCCCAAGTAATTATCATATCAATTATAAATCTCAAACGGATTTGTAAAGTAGCTTTAAATCCTCAAGTTAGTTTTTAATCTCTTTCATATTGAAAAAGTCTGCCTCCAACAAACAAAATATTCAGGTGCCATGTCTGTGATAATGAAATTACTGATAAGAAAGTGATTTTGATAATAAACTAACTGTGAGGATGTGATGATATAGTTGTCAAATTACCCAGCTTGGGCTATTTCAATTAAAAATTATTTCTATCAGATGTAATTCTTAGATGTTCAACCATTTTCATATTGACCGCTGTGTTCATAAAACCTCTCAGTGGGAAAATGCTATACTTGACAAAAACTTGTGATTGATTTAATCTAGCTCTCAAGGTCATTTATTTAATACATACCACAATTAAAAGGAATTATTCATAGATATATAATGAAATGCAAATGCATAGCTTTAATGCTAATGATCCCAAGCAATAAGGAAATAACAAAGGGTGTTACAGCCATTAGTTCTTTGGTAAAACACATACAGAATTTGACTTAACACCAGGCAATGTGCTTTGTGTTATTATGGCTTCAAGTATGTATCAGAATGGTCCTGGTTTGGGGCTTAATAAAGTGATCGAATGACCAGACCCTCACAGTAGTTTGATAACGGCAGAGTGAAGTGTAGGGCCACCCAAGAACATCCAGGTAGAACCCAACAAAAATTGGGTTGGGATGGGGTGGTCAGGGAAGGCTTCCTGGAGGAGGTGCCTGCACTCAGCCTTTAAAAATAAGTGGGAATAAAGCACATGTAGAACTGGGGAAGGGGAGCTGGACAGATGGAGTATTCCATGGAAGGAGACCAAGGCCCAGAGAAAAGGAACTTGGAGGAACTGTTCGTGGTCCACCATTCTCAGTGTGTAAGCAGTGAGGGACATGGTGGCAGGGAGGCTGGAACTGGAGTCTAGGGAGGCACGTCTGTCTGCATGGTATTTGTGTTTTATCAGGAGCGCAGTGGGAAGCATCAGAGGAAGAGGCTGCACGATGCTAGTCTCACACAGAATTATGACTACGGAAGGATGGAGGGGAGGCTGGTGACCTGAAGTGGAGACACCAGTGAGAGCTATCTTTCTTGCATTAACTTGGGCAAGAAATACCGAAGACCTGAGATCAGGTGTGGGAAGGCGACCGATGACGACATAATTATGAAATAAAATTTAAGGCCATAGTGACCAACGAGCATGGGGAATGAATGGCACAGAGAGAAGATGAGAGCAAGGGACCGCGAGGCAAGCATGACTGAGAGAGAAAGGTGGTGGCTTCCGTGTGGGGCATGTGGACTGTGAGGTAACATCCACCCGAGGACGCAGGAGATCAGGAAAGATCTGGAATGGAAATCCTGAAAGTGTGCAGAGCATAACAGGGCTCAAGACAGAACCCAATATATAAGAGACGGGCAGGGGACCCAGTGAGCACAGAGGTGACTGGGGAAGAAGGACGGTGTTGAACTGGCGGTAAAGGCAGGGAAGCTCCGTCTGTGTGATAGATTTCATAAACAGATTTTAAAAACAGGTTTTTAAAAAACTTGCTGACATGAGAAAACTTGAACTATATTAAAGTGAAAAAGCAGATTACAATGAATAGTGTGTTCATTATGACAGTTTTGTTTCTTTTTTTTTTAAAGATTTTTTTTAAAGATTATTTTAAAGATTATTGGGGAGTTGGGGGATGGGAACAGTGCTGGGGGATTGGGGAAGGGGAACAGACAAGTTGCTGTCCTTTTGTTCTTCAGTCTAGTTGTGGAGGACGTTGCTTCACTGGCCCAAGTTGGCACCATCATTGCGCTCTTCCCAGGCGAGGCACATCAGTCACCAGCTTCAGGACGGCTGCTCACACTGGCTGCTGGCCGCTCACGCTGGCTGCTGGCTACACACGGTAGCCCATGGCAACCCACTGCCACAGGGGCTGCAGCCTACGCCATCGCTGGCGACTCAGGGCAGCCCAGCTCCAGGTTGAGCTGTTGTTCAGCATCTTAGCTGTAGAGGGCAGTGTCACTGGCCCTCATATGTGGGGTCCGAACCAGGGCCCTCTGGCGTCCCAAGCCAGTTCTTAACCATTGTGCCACTCAGCCGGCCCTTGTTTCTTTTTTAAGAAGGCCTGCATGCGTATGTATATGTGCCTTTGTGTCGTGTACACAGAAATTAATGATGGCCCTCTCTGGATGGTGGAATGTCATTTTAATTTTCTTTTCAAAAACAATTTTTTTTACCATACATATATATAACATACTTTCAAAATAGTAATAATTTTAAAGTGCAAGTTAAAAATCATATACTACAACGAGATAATTAAGTTTTTCGGAAGTGCCTATAGATAATAGTTTTACATTGCTGGTTTTCCTGATATTGATAACTGTACTGTGGTTAAAGAATTATTTGTTTTGAAGGAATATACACTAAAGTATTAGTAAAGGCACATCATATCTGTGTGTGAGAGAGAGAGAGAGAGAGAGAGAAAGAGAGAGAGAAAGAGAGAGGGAGAGAGAGACGGATTGAATGAGAATAGAGGCTAAAGCTCATGTAATAAAATGTTAGCATTTGGGGGATTTGGGTGAAGGATATCGGGGGAAGTTTTCCTACTTTTGTGCAAGTGTCAAATTATGTCAAAAATGAAAATTTTACAAGGGGAAAGCGTCCATGGATTTAGCGGACAGCAGTTTCTGTGGACGGGTGGGCTTTCCTTTCCTCGTGCCCACATGCTCTTCCTGTTCTCCAGCAGAGTTCCTAGCATATGTTGCGTATGTGCTCATGAAGTTTACTGAGTGGGTGGATGATTTCATGAATGAGGTGAGGAAGTGGTGACGGGAGAGAAAAAGGTCTTTAAGGTATGTAAGCGGCAAAAGGAGATGGCGAGAAGGCAGACATTAGGAAGAGGGTTGAGGGTGGCATTGAGAAGGTCGGGGGGTTTTGCTGCCAGCGCAAACTTACAGAGGTAGAGGTTAAAGGTATAAGCAAAACGAGGGGATAATTGAGGGAGGGAAGCCTCTGACGGGACTGCAGTGGCCTAACTCCAAAACAGAAGAGGATCAGCCTAGAAAAGGAATAACTTTTCCACAGAAACATCAGGGAAGGTGGAGTGGAAGTAATGCAGATGAGTTCGAAATGGAGAAGGAGGCGGTCAGTTGAGGAAATGACTACTTTTTCCTCTGAAGTGACTCAAAATGAGAGTAGTGATAGGCTTGTGAACGCAAAGAGGAGATTGAAACAGATGCCATGAGGAATCAGGAAGCATGAGGTTGCCTGGAAACCTAGAGGACGATTGACAGCCAAGCGGAAGGTCCACACAAAGGCGGGACTCATGAACATGGAGACTTTATGGTAGAGTTTTTCTCTACAAGGGCGCAGCTGTCCAGGTCAAAAGACATTTCTCCTGATCCAGAGTTGAGGATTTTTCTGGTCGGGCCTGGGAGCATATGGAGAGAAGAGAACTGAAAGTATCCGGGAAAAAAATGGTTTAAAATACAATCCATGGATCTAGGTAAAGTAGAAAGAAAGCAAAGGTAGGGGAGAATAAATTGAGGGAAGATAAGGATGTCAAGGGTTCTGCATCTCTTGATGAGGTTGGAGAACAGATGAGACGCGAATAAAGGAATGAAAATTCTAGAAACAGAGGATTTTCCTTTCTTAATCTCAAAACCCAGTGAGGCCACCACCACATGCTTCTGTACTTGGCTCTCTGTACTTCCCTTCCTTGGACCCTCTCACCACTTTTAAAACTGCTGTTCATTGACCTTCCTCCTGTGAAACTGTAGCCATATGAGGAGACAGATTCTGTTTGTCTCGTTCACACGTACAGCCCCGTGGCCACCGTGGAATGGAGCACGTGGTGGTGGTCAGTAAACCTTCGTTACGTAACCAGACGAGTCGGTTTGTGCTGTTGTGGTTTGAGACTGTGGGATGGGAAAAAAGGTCCAGGGTGTGGTCTTGAGCTGGAAGGTCGAAGTAGAAGGCCAGCGCTGAGGGCTGGATAGAATGAGAAGCCTGTTGGATGTATAACCCAAGATAATGTTGGAACTTGTCAGGGGATACAGTCAAATGGCTGAAGTTTTCCATAAATGGAAGGCAGTGTCTAGGAGGTGGCTCACCATGGAAAGCATTGTCACGAGTCTCAGAGAAGGAAGGATTTTATGGGAGTGCTGGAAAGCAGTGGTTTGGGAAAACCTGCAATAAGGATGGGTTTCCAGGCCTTTGTGGTGCCTGGTATCTCAGAGAATGAGCAGCCTCTTCTTGGGAAGGATATGCAGGACCGCAAGGGCCTTAGAGAAGGGCTTAGCCGAGGTGGAGCAACTGAAGCTATAGAGGGTCTTGTTGTCCAGATTCTGTGTTGGACCCAGGGGAAGGATTGGGTGAGCTGGCAGTTAGGATCAAGGCATAGGAAGTGGGGAGGGGACGGGCATTCTTTTCATGTCCTTTTTCTTTTCTTTCTCTCTCTTCTCTCTTCTCTCCTTTTCTCCCTCCCTCCCTCCCTCCCTCCCTCCCTTCCTTCCTTCCTTGAATAAAGATGTGTAAACCATGGCATGCTGGAGCAACTGTGAATAGGACTTAGGGTTTATGAGAGAAAGAGGAGGCTGGAGAAAGCAGTCTCTAAGC